TTCGACACCGTATATCACCAACTGCTTCTGGGAAAGTTTAGATGCATTGGTGTCACTAACCAATCGATAGCCTGGTTTGAAAGCTACCTGTCCATGCGCACCCAGTGTAAAATCTGACAATCTGATTACACAGCCCCTATCCATCTCTAAGGAAGTAGCACATGATATTTCTGTCATTGACCTTCTACTTTCCCCCTATGAAAGTATCAACTCTTAATATGTTTATGTTTTCATCAAATATAACGTATCAACAAAAAAAATCAATAACGTGCTTTCAATCAATCAATCAATGTTTATTTATATAGCCCAATATCACAAATGTTACATTTGTCTCAGTGGACTTCACAACCACTTTAACCGCTTTAACCACTAGGCGGTTAAAGCACAGTGTTAACACAATAAAATATACTGCTGTTTCCAGTTTAGTTTATGATGGATGTATTTTGTTATCCACACATATATTGTTTTTATATTTGTAACACCAAACCGACAGAAAAGATGGTCTTAACAGGACCCAGTGGTCTAGTTAATACAAATAATATTATCAAACATAATATTAAAATGAACTCTTATTTTGAAAATACAGCTTCCTGTTTTCAAATGAGCTGCTCCGACTGTTCGGTCCTGACGGACTCCAAAAGTCCGACATTATACAATCAAACAAATAAATAAACACAAGGATAATTATGCGTTATTGTTGAGTAAATAACAGTGTGTGGTTTAGAAAAGAATACAAAATTAGAAGGAAAAAACTATGAAACAATACAGATTTCAGTTTTCTGAGCCCCTATACTCCCCCTAACTGACGGCAACAAGTCAGACATTATTCAATTAAAATAAAGAAATAAACACAATAAGTGTGGCTTGATATTGAGTTAGAAAAAGGTTGATAAACGCTGTGAGAATTGATCTGCGGAGAGCATTTCGTCGCGATCCCAACTCGTCTATTACCAACGTTCAGGGAGCTCTATGCAAGTCAATGTGACACCCTGATAGTTGAAACTCGACGCTAAAGGGCTCAACTTGCGTTGGAAAGGGACGACAGGGACCCTGACATAACGTCAACATAGGCCTAGTTGGGAGTGAGAATGTGTTGCTTTAAAAGCAGGCAGTGTGGCGACCTGTCTGATATGCATGGGCAGATCGTTCCAGAGTGTGGGAGCCGCTACAGAGAAGCAACGGTCCCCTTTGAGCTTAGACTTGGTTCTGGGCACATTCAGGAGCAGTTGATCCGCTGACCTGAGAGGGCAGTTGGGCGTGTAGGGGCGTAGCAGCTCAGAAAGATATGGTGGGTACAAAGTAGTGAGTTCACCAAGTATCTCTGCAGGAGAGCCACTAGCTAAATGAGATTTAATGGATGTCTATGTGGTTGGATTGCGTCGGGTCAAAGGGCCAAATTATTAAAAACCAGTCAAAGGAGGCTATAAAGAGATTTCCTGGATGATTTCCTTCAATATTCTTGCTTCTGAGTTTTCCCAAAAACCTTTGTTCTTAAAGCTATAGTTTGGATGTTTTAAAATGGTATGAAACTATTCATTGTCTGTTAATACCTAATACAGAAGTTGATTGTTTGCAAGCACCCAATATGGAGAACAGGGGTTTAGCGTTCTGGGTAGGGTTGGACAAGGGCAGCAGCAAAAAAATTTAATCACCCAAAAAATAAATCTCTTGTCATTTAAAATCAACATCAGTTTGAATGTACTCTGTATTTGAAATGTTTTATCCCACTATCGTTCTATCAGGGAGCTGAAGTTGTCCAAACCGTTTGCACATTCATAGAGAATTAATTATTTATGGTTTTAAAAGAGCTCCCTATTCACTCCTTTAGGAAAGGTTATGGATGTGCGTATAATCACAATCACCAATCATCCCATACAAATCCAGAACCCTGTAGAATCACCTACAGTAGCTGTTTCCCCAGTGAGAGAGAACAAGATGTACTGTGTCTTCAGACGTGTTACTCCGCTGGACGCTCGCCTCCAGGCACTGGTGTCACACTGCATTGTGTTTTATTGCCATATTTGACAGATTGTCCATTGTTCTTGTTCACCTTAATAATAGTGTCTGTTCTGAACCGGTATTTTGAGAGAAATGTTGCAACATGAACTGCATTGGGTTGAGTCTGTACCTTAACATTTTTTTAAGGTATTTTAATTATTTAGATCAATCCATCTCAAAATGGAAGACATTTTTTAAGTTAAACCTCCTGAAGTGTTACCTGTCTCTGAATCACATTTTAAAGTGGATTTTAAAACTCTGGATGGTCTGAGATGGTTTTCAAGTGTGGTTCAACATGATTTAAAGTTAATCCATGAATGTATCTGCTTAAAAATAAACATCCTTTTTGGGGAAAACCAGCCTTAGTTACCGGTATTTAAATCTGATCACTTCTGTTGGACTACATAACTGCCTGACCCTTTCCCTATAGGATATCACATCATACACCTTGATTATAAGGCTCATACTTGGCAAATAGCAGCATTATGTCAACAATTTAAATAATCTTTGGGAGCTCTGAATGACTTTTGATCATATTGAAATTAGCTAGACAAAGTCAGTACATCTGTGAAAGGCAACACGGTCTGATGTGATTTAGTCGCTTCATCATTCTTTTGTATCACTCATCATCTATGGCCTGCTTGATACCACTATTACTGACTGGTGGCATAATATTCAGAAACAAAGTGATCCATTTTCAGAATCAGTGTCCCTAGATGTAAACTCGATTTGGGCGTGTGTCTTTATAACCCTAAACAATAATTAAATTAAGATCATCTTTAATTACAAGGATTTGATTTAACATAACCTCATGGCATGATGAGTGGGAAGACAGTAAGATAACAGTTATCTTGGGAGGATGGGGAAGATACTTTAAACCAGTGGTTCTCAACTGGTGGGTCGCGACCCACAAGTGGGTCGCAGACCCGTTTCGAGTGGGTTGCGGATGTGTGAGTGAAGAAAAAAAAAAAAAAAATAAAATTGGAATTGGAATTCTTTTTTTTGAGGAAAAAGTCAAACTTTTATTTTGAAGGCCCGATTTTCTAACGCTGTGCATGCAGGCGTTCTCAGAGTGTACCAGAATGCATAGTTTATGTTATAATTTCTAAAAATCTCCTGGGGGACAATCCCCCCAGACCCCCTTGGGTTGGGTTTTCAGCATGTGTGCCTTTTTATATAGTTCAGCTTTGATTCCATCATCTCATTAAACCTTTTTTAAAAGCATACTTTAGTTCTGTGAAGGGATATATGCACTGTACTTCACTTGTATTAATATTGTATGCTGAAAAGCGTATATATTACAGCAGGTTTTTTTGTTGAATAGATTTGAGTGCTTCAAAATGTTGGGTCGCGATGTATTGACCAAGTAAAAAGTGGGTCCCGAGGCCTGACCAGTTGAGAACCACTGCTTTAAACTATAGATTTTAGCACCTGGTGCACCAGTGCTTGGATGCATCATACTGTAGCGTCTTCCGTCAAATGTTACATACAAATACAGATAAAAAGAGGAGCAAGAGATGAAAAAAAGGTTCTCTTTGACCCAGTATGTTGAGATTGTTAGAGAGAGCAAGGCCATTGATTGTCTATTCCCTATCACCCCCAGTCTCCTCACACCACCCATTTCAGAAGTGTTTTGGAACGTCTGAGCTGTCTTATAACAATTATAACTTTACAATTATGTGCCTTATCTGAAATGCGTCACCCATTACCGTTGATCCACAGAGAAAATCATGGTTTTGGCTTTCTGTCCTGCTGGTAAGAGCCATGATATGCATTAGCAGAGTCCGAGGTAAAAGGAGACAGAATACTGAGGGTTAAAATACAGGAAGAAAGCCGATCGTTCTAATGGAATCAATATTATGAAACTTCTAATTTACACGTGTTCCATTACTTTTAAGATGAACAAAGTTCAATGTAGTGTTTACATCTAAGTCCTGCAGCTGCTCTGTCCCCAATAAATCAATCTCATATTACTTTGGCTTTAGGCTTTATGCATGATCAGTAAGACACATACATGTTTGAGACACATTTTTAGCAAAACACGTTTTTCATTCAAGTGCAAACTATGTGTCAAACATTTTCTCATTACATTCCATAATACTTTGTTTAACTTGACCTTAACACAGTAGACGTTGCAGGTGTTACAAATAAAAATAACAATGGCCCTGAAACTGAGACATTTATGTTAAACAATAATACCTCTATGCTTAAACAATTATATATATATAATATTTGTTAGACAGTTTAATCGTAACATTTCTGAAAAGTAGAACAATATTTGAAAAATGAAAATAATGTTTAATCTGACAAAGTTTTAAGCCTTGCTTAAAAGTTAAATGTCTTGTGTGTATAATATGTATAACTCCAAGCTTAAAGGTAGGGTAGGTAAGAATGGAGAAACCAGCTTGAGTAAACTAGAATTTGAAAGTACACACAACCGAAAAGAATCTGCCCCTTCCTTCAGACTTCCTTACAGAGCCCCTCCTCCAAAACACATGAACCCATGACCAATGAGGGCACGAGATAAATGTGTTCACGAGATGGAAGGCTGACAGGCAGGTAGGCCATCCAGTTATCTGCCGAGGCAGATCATTTGACTTGCTTTTTACAACGCCACGGCTTCCACAGATTAAATATTTGAGAAGGCCTATATATTTATTTTCAAAACATTTAATTTATTCATTGCTATCGGGATGTTAAGAGCATTCCATGGAATATAACAACAAGTGTTTCTGAAGTGAATTACCTACCCTACCTTTAACCAAAAAAAAACTCAAAATAAATGCATTCAGATCATAGACTGTATATATAATTCAGATATAGATTCAGATTCAGATATACCTTGAATGAAACTGGATGATCTGGCCGGGTAACCCCAGAAATTCCTTTATCGAGAAAACGAACCGAGCAAGTGTCACTTGTTTTTTTGAGTGTTTCTTGTAGGCAGCGCCGCCCCTTTATGCGCACGCGCCACAGTTTCGTCGCTGTCGCTCCGGCAGATGTTCCACTAGCACCCTCCCCGCCCCCCTCGACGACGACGACGCTCGCGACACAGTGGGCCTCATCACATAACTTTGCGTGGGGCCACAAGTTGGCCTGGGGCGGTCCTGCAAGTAGGAACACGTTTCTCTGTCCGTTGTGCAAGCTACCAGTCACTCCCCTAAATTATACAACCTGCATATAGGTAGTTTTGTGATATAACAGAAAATCTCCAACCACGCTTTACACTTCCACCGAGGCTGCAGCTGCACACATCGTCACGCCCATTATCCTGCACCATGCCTGCCGTAAAAGGTAAGATTATTTGTCTGTTGTGGCGGAGCCAGAGTTCCTTTCATACGGGATCAATGCGTATTTTAAGTATCTGAAACTCCACCGGGGTGCAGTGCGTAACGTTGTTTCTATTAATCCCATCCTAAAATACGCGGAGAGCCACACAGCTGCACACAGGAGTTCTAGTTCGTGTTTGTAAAAGTTTCCAGGCTGATTTAAAAAAAGATATATATTGTTCATAAATCATATAAATTCGTGACGTCAACATAAATACAATTGAAGTCGTAAAACTAAGAGTAAAACTGTCATTTTACATTTTGAACATGATAAATAGAACATTTAATTCATTAAGTTAAAAAATATAAAACTCCCTTATTATTATTTAAAATGTTTTTCAAATTAAATTCAATGTCTTTTTTTTTCTGTGTACCATTAAGTACATCCTTGTACATTAAGCGTTTTCCCCCAAAAGATTGAAGGGTAAAACAAACATTTGATGGCTTTTCTGAAATACTGTATGTAAAATATTGTAATAAGGTTACACCCATGTTCAATTGGATTGGGGGTGAGAATGTTACTAATAAGTGAATGTTTGTGTCAATAAGTCAAATCAATCTGCAACATATTTTCTGGTTATTTTTCAGTAGCATGGTTTTGCTAATTTTCAGTATTTCTCATTTAGAATTCATTAAATCATTCTGAAAATAACGGACAGATCACTGGATATTGAATATCAGTTATTGCATGTAGCAGAAAAGTGTAGTTAATTTTAAAACCAAAATTACATTATTTATTTCCCCCAGTTCCCGACACCCCAGTGGAAATCCTTGTGGATATCCTAACAAAAGCCAAGGAGTTAGCCATAGCAAATGACCATGTGCCGGAGGAGTTGAAGAGCCAGCTGCAGAAGGCTTTGGACATCGCCAGCGGCATGGACGACTACCTGGAGAAAATGACCACACAGGAGAGTGAACCCCTCGCAGAGCTATATGAGTATGTCTTGTATTCATACCCTTCATCTTCTCAAATTGATACTGTGTGAGGTACACTTGTTAAGAGTGTCATTTTGAACTTTTTTTGTAGAAAAACTATTTCCCATGACTGGGATAAAGTGCACAAGGAGGGTAAAACAATGTTCCGTCTCCCCAAGGAGTGCATCACCGGACATGTTGAAGGTTAGACATTTACAAGCTTACTGCTCATATTTCAGTGGTTTACCATATTGTGATAACTTGCTTTAATGTTTTGGCAGGCCAGACCCTGAAGATGCTGATCCACATGTGTCAAGCAAAGAGGGTTCTAGAGATCGGGATGTTCACCGGCTACGGGGCCCTGTCTATGGCCGAGGGGCTTCCAGAGGACGGCTGCCTGATGGCCTGTGAGTTAGAGCCATACCTTAAAGACTTTGCTCAGCCCATTTTCAACAAGTCTCCACATGGCAGGAAGATCACTGTCAAGACTGGATCTGCCATGGACACCCTCAAGGTGAGAAAAAAACCCAGAAAAATTGTGTCACATTTACATATATATGAAAAACCTGGAAGAATTTAAGAAAATATGTGAACTTTGAACACCTCTAAAAGTGAAGCAATTCGGAACAGCCTTAGACCTGCACTCTTTCTAATGACCAGCAGGGGGCAGACTTTACAAAAATAAATCAGATTATATAGAAGTATTTGAGAAAATGACACTAATTTCAAGTTGATTTATTACCTCTGTAGACTTTTTCTAGTAAAGGATCTCAATCACTAGCTTAAAGTCTTGTTAAAAAAAGCATTGTGTCAATTATGGTGCCATTTTTCAAGATTGACGATAAAGCAGAGTCGCCACATTGTGATCTATATAATATGTTTTTTTGTTGTAGTTTGTTTGGCTGTTTTACATATCTGTGTCTTTTAAGCCCTAACAGTGTGTTTTCAGTTTTTGAAAGTTAAAAGTCACAATTTGGTTGCCTAAAAACGTCCTGTTCAGCATTCATTGTACTTACAACTTCTCATGTCACTTTTGGTTCTAAAAACCAAGAAAGCAACGGTCAAAATCCCAAATTCAAGGCTTCAAAACAGTATTCCCCAAACCAATAGGTGTGGTAATGGTGACTACTTTCCCTGATTTGAAAAAGTCTGAATATAGGCTTCTTAGAGAGGTTGGAAGTAAAAAAAAGGCTTATGAAGACACCTCCCCAAGTTTCAAGACTAAATATGAATGCAAATATAATATAAATGTAGAATTTAAATAGAAGACATGGATACAATAAAAGTACTTAGAGTTGCTCATGAAATATGAGGAAATGTCAGAGGAATATGTTTTGGTTTATCAGACTGTGGGGCACATGACCAGTTTTCTAATAACTCTCTTCCCTTCAAGGAATTGGCTGATGCAGGCGAGCAATTTGACATGGTCTTCATTGATGCTGACAAAGACAATTACATCAACTACTACAACTTCATTCTGGACAACAGTCTGCTGAGACTGCGGGGGGTCATATGTGTTGATAACACCCTGTTCAAAGCCAAAGTTTATCTCAAAGACGCCACGGATAGCAACGGACTGGCACTCCGAAAGTTCAACCAGTTTGTTTGTGACGATCCCCGTGTGGAGCAGGTACGTTTCAACCCTTTACATGCTGCTGTTTGTGTTTGATAGATACAAGTATTTTTAACAATGTGTCTTTTTGTTTTTAAAGGTCATTCTCCCTCTTAGAGATGGCATCAGTGTTATTCGTCAAGTATCTGTGGCCTTGAGTTCAGAAACACAGGTACTGTTTAGATAATGTAGGTAAAGTCCTCCAATCAAACCCTAACTACAGATTTTCTCATCATTCTTCCAGATCATGACTTTTTTATTTTTTTATTTCAGAGGATGAGCATCATAGGAGGAAATTACATGTTAAGCATCAGTTTGCACGTATACTTTAAAGCAGATGTGTGTCTCTGTAGTCGGCGTAAAGAAGTGGAATTCTTTGCCGAATTATTCAAAGGGTCGTAAGAACATTGTTATGTTTAAGGAAATGTATAAAGAAAGCGTAATTAGAAAGTATGAAGTTGACTTTTGATTGTGTTCTGGTTTTATGTTTCAGTGTTTGTAAGTTATTTTCTTTTCTTAAATCTTTTATTTTTTTAAGAAGTGGCAGGTAAAATAAGATTGTCTTCTCCCTGCTCCTTTCCACCAGGCGCTATATATAAAAAACAGTATAAGTGTACATGTTTTGTTTTAAAATAATTGCCATGTGTGGATTAAATAAATACATTTGTCTTGTTTAGAGTCAAATAACAGATGATGAAGTTTTCCGCGGGGTTATGGGACGTCCCATCCTGGATCGGATGCGTCTGGATGGGAAGGTTGCCTACGTGACGGGGGCCGGGCAGGGCATCGGCCGGGCGTTCGCTCACGCTCTGGGCGAGGCCGGGGCCAAGGTGGCCGTGGTCGACATGGACCAGAAGAAAGCTGAGGCCGTGGCTGAAGAGCTGCATCTCAAAGGTAAGGGGTGTAAACGCAACACACAAAGACTCAAAGAGATAGTTCTGATACTTTTAAGTGGGTCTGTATATCCAATCCAACTTTATTTAGATGGCACATTTAAAAACAACAGACCAAAGTGCTGTACATCAATAAATATATAGAAAAGCAGCATAAATACATTTAGACAAAACCGATAGGACAAAAAAATAAATAATGTAAAAGCACGAGACAATAAAACCATACTTATAGGAACAGACTGAAAACCCTCAAACATTTTAAAACGCAACAAAATAGAAAACCCCAATTTAGAAAACACAGACTGATATGTCTTATACGTGGTCAGTGTAAAATGGCGGTTCGCAAGCAGAAAAACAATGACCCTAAACAATGGACTGCTGTCAGAGGGCAGCAGCAAAGCATGGTTAGACCACTTAAAGGAAAGGCCTACCTTAAAAACAATATAGGTTTGAAGTGTAATCTATAGTTAGAACATTTTCAGAACTCTTTCTTGATGACAGACAGCCGTTTTTGACAGCTCATTTAAAATGAGCTGCTAATGGTAGTCACCAGAGTGTATCGCAGCTTCCGGTTCCGGGGGAATTCTGGCTGTTTAGATGGATTTTAGGAACTTCCCCTCGAGTCTATTGGCTCTAACGGCTAAAAAGAGGTGTCAATCATCAAAATGTTTTTTTTTGCTAAATCTCTCTAAAAAGGCCAAATTTCACTTGTTTTGCATCAATCTTGATACACGGTACTTATTATATGTTATAGTTTGAATTCCTAAAGCTTTTAGTCTACCTTACCATCCTTCAAGGGTGGTTTTCACTATAAGTTAAAGAATTTCTTTGGACAGACACAATCATTTACATTTTTTTACTATGTTCAATCTGAATTTACTTTAAAATAAAAACATCTATATTGATTCTGACTTTTCTACATCCAACTCACAGGTTTGTCATTGCTTTGAGAAAAAAGATTATGCATTTATCCCTTTTTAGAAGGGAAGATATAGGCCCAATCCCACACCACTCCCTCGACCCTACCCCTCCGTGACGGAGTGAACTCCGTCTGTAGCCACACTCGCAGCTCAACGAGGCTCCCTCCTGTCAGATGGAGGGAGTAAATACAGCGGAAAGCTTTGGGACGGCCTCGGCCTCCCCTCTCTCCGGCAGAAACAGGAAATGCCGTACATAACAACGGTTTCAAATCAGCATCTCTTCGACAAAAAATGTAAATTAATAACTCAAATAAAACTCCAAACATCTTTAATTGTGATACTTTTTTTGTAAAGCTCTTTTAGTTTTAAACCTGATGTTTATAAGCTTCTTAGTTTTTGCAACAGTCTGTAAATATACACAACTTTATAATAAAATGCACACATTTACCTTTTTCTAGACTACAGGTATGATCCTAATTTAAAAAATAGGGCTGTCAAGTTAACGTGTTAACGCAAAAAAAAATTAACGCCGCTAATTATTTTAACGCGATTAACGCGTGTGTATTTTTTGTCCTCGGCCGCCTCGTAGTTTCAGAGCGCAACAAGTTTAAAATTCCATCTACAAGCTGATGCTGACAGNCAGCTTGTTTCCTGACGGACACACACAGCATTGAGACCGGTCAGGTAGAGACCGGTCTCAAGTCAGCACCGCTGCAGACTTGCTGTTTGAGGGCTTGATAGCCCACTCCCCCGCTCCATACTCGTTGCTTTGGAACAGCCCTCAATATGGCGGACCCTCCGCGTGAACGCGCAAACAGAGGGGTAGGGTGTAGGAGTAGGGTGTAGGGGTAGGGTGTAGGGGGCGGTTTGGGAATGGGCCCTAGAGACCGGTCTCAAGTCAGCACCGATGCAGACTCGCTGTTTGAGGGCTTGATAGCCCACTCCCCTCCACACTGCTCCACACTCGTTGCTTTGGAACAGCCCTCAATATGGCGGACCCTCCGCGCAGGGGCGGATCTAGACAAATATTCATGGGGTGGCAAGAGGGTGGCAGGAGAATTTCAGGGGTNTAGCCCACTCCCCTCCACACTGCTCCACACTCGTTGCTTTGGAACAGCCCTCAATATGGCGGACCCTCCGCGTGAACGCGCAAACGGAGGGGTAGGGTGTAGGAGTAGGGTGTAGGGGGCGGTTTGGGAATGGGCCTTCCTGACAGTTCACAGTGTGCCGCTGCCCGGTGTAATTCAAATGTACCGACACAAAGCTGCAGCAGCACCGGAAATGGAACTGCTGGGAGAACAAACTGACTAGTATTGCCAGTTATTAACTGCTTAATACATGCCCTGGGGTTAGGGATTACGAAACACATTGGTGTTATCACATTTAAAACATATAATTAATACATGGGTGAAAATTGCTTGTGTCCATAATGGGCAGCATTAATATACCCACATGACAGCTCAGGTCAGAAGAGCTTTATTTAACAGCTGGTCTTATTTCTGTGACCCCTCCTGTTGTTCATTGATAAGCCTGAAACATGCACTTGTCAAGGTTCAGAGGCAAATTTTGCAAATATGGCAGTATCGATCATCTTAAGATAAGATAAGATAAGATACTTTATTGATCCCAAGTTGGGAAATGTTTTTGTTACAGCAGCATGTACTACTTTGTTCTACAATTCAGAGGTTAACCTGGTATTTTTACTCCACTACATGTATTTTAGTTACTTTGCAGATTCTGATTAATGTGGTGAAATATAAACAACCCTTAAATCAGACTTTAGTTATACCTGAGTAAAATTCAGCCTTATTAGTTTGTCTGTTTTGCACATCCTCATGTTAATATCTTTGGACGTCCTGCACTAAACTGTTTTATTGTAGAGATCACTACAGTATATTCTTGATATTTTCTATTCTATATTTCTATCATTGACCCCTATTTTGTATGTAGGCTACTTTAATATTTAAATGTTTTCATCAAATATAACTTATTCAACAACTAAATTCAATAACGTGCTTTAATTAACCACTAGGCGGTGCGGGCTAAAAAAACAGTGGTCTAGTGCAGTGGTTCCCAACCTGGGGGCCAAATATCATATTTAGACTTGTTTTTTGTTTAGTTTTTTTTACATATAATTGTAAAGCAATGCATGATTGTCGCTAAAAGCCTTGTCTCTACATTACAATAAAATATAAAAAATAATTGATTAATTAATTTTAGTAAAAATTCAAGTTAGTAGCTATTAAATGCATAAAAAGACAGAAATGTATATTTTTTTCTTTAATAGAAATGTTTCTTCTGCGCGTAAAGTGTCCAAACCAGGCTTGTCTGCATAAGCGCATTTTCAAAACATAGTCATTGTCCATGCCGGTTTCAGTTGGATTATTTGTCACAGTTGCTCCGATCAGATCGGTCTCCTCCATTTTGTAGATTATTTACGACTTTGAATCCACATAAACATATCGGCAAAATCCGGCTTTCTTCGAGCATGTGTTTTAAACAGTTTAATCCCTTTGTGAATTGTTTCCACTTCTGCGCCGTCCTTTAATTTCTTCATACAGCGGGAATCCAAATGAATGAATCCTGAGTCTAATAACCATCAAAGTCACTCCAATAGTGCTCCTTAATTACGCTTTCATCCTCCTTTAAGTTGGATGTTGATATGATGTAAATTGTGGTTACGTAAGCGCATGGATTATTTTCGCTCCATCCGGCTTCATGTGGTTTGTACTCTGTCAATCTCGTCCTTTTATGTGGGCTCCCACCCGCTTTTCTCGGTACCGCTCTATAGTTCGTTTCATCGATGCAATCGTTTGGCTTTCCACGATCGTTGCACTGTCCCCCCCACAATGTCGCGATTCTCTTCCTCTCAACGACTCAGCGAATCGACCATCTTGCACTACATGTTGCAGTCCGTCAACGGCACTCTATGTTCTGACAAAAACTTTTGCACTTAGAAATCAATCAATATTCTTTATTAATTTATACTGAAATAAAGCTCTTGATTGTTTCTGTCCTGTGTCGACTCCTAATAATAAACATAAGAGGTCAATATGTTTGTTGATTAGTCACTTCAATGTTGTACGAATAGTGTAATGTCGTTTATCACCTTTTTAGTGTAACTCAAATACCATTGATGTAGTTGCCATATCAGTCGTTCTAGTACGTCTATCTTGATCATATATCTGTGTTTTATCTAACTCAACCGTCTGCCGCTGTTTGGGAGATGATAATGTTAATTATAAGACTTAATTGTCTTTTGTATATTAAACATTAAATCCAAATATTATATAGAAAATAATGTCTTTTTAATTTGGCCCCATTTTAAAAATATAAAAAAAAAAACAAAAATAAATTAGTTATTAACTAGAAACTTAATGTCCTTTATGTATAATAAACAGTAAATAAATATGTTAAAAAATTTTAGATAAGATTTAATGTCTTATGCTATAATAGCAACATAATAATTATTAATAACACTTATGTCTTTATGTAATAAACATATAATAATTATTAATAAACTTATGTCTTTACATAATAACTAAATTATATATTAATAAACTTTAATGTCTTTATGGTATAATAAACATGTATATTTATGCGTAATGTTACGATCACGGAGAGATAAAGATAATTACAATAGGTTTAATATAAGTTGGACTAATCGTTCTTTTATGTCTCAGCGGAGAACACCAGTGTAAATGTGACCTGATCTCTTCTATTCAGACTTAGAGTGTGATTAATGTGGTGTGTTGTACATCAGAGTATAAAAACCTGTCACAGTAATATTAATATATACCTTACTGTCCTTTTTGAAATTTTACCAGAGCTATGAGAGGAATAATGTGATTTATAGTAAGGCAGTCGATTTCCCTGCTTGCTTTACACATATTAAGAAGAGAGTGATCAAAAACGCAGTACCTACCGGTGCTCGACCAAAGGCTTGGGCCCCCGGTGGTCATAGTGGAGACACAAAACCTCACTAAACACTACTAGCGCCCGCTGTATCAGTCAGAGTGGAGGCCAAAAGGTTGGGTGTCCGGTGGCCTTCTTAGTCCTCTACCTCCGGTGAGAGTGCGACGTACCCGACTGGGCTCAGTAGGGTTGCCGTACCAGTTTTGTGAGACCACCCACATCATACGGGTGGTGTTTGTTGCAGGAGGTGTTGAGTATGGCTGTTTACCAGCTAACACCGGGAATAATGCCTGGTTTATACACACAAGTTCGCGATTATGCTGATTTATTAATGTGCAAAAATTTCAACGGGAGATCACGAGAAACTTACGTTTCAATGTCTCCAGCATAATAGTGTTCATTGGGATGAACTATAGATTAACCATCTATCACACTGTAATTTACGAAAAACTAAGCTAAAGTATCGCTTTACATATAATCATGAACACTTAGGTGCAGGTAGCATTACATTGCCTAGATACAAACTATTATAATGCATTCTAATAAACCTCAAAGCAGTCCTCTTGCACATATACGCCGTTTCGAAGGTACAGTTTCAATGCCCAACTTTTGTCATAAGGCCAGTAGCTTTCAAAGTATTTATTTGGTTACTAGTTTACTCAAATTGTCACTATTAGACGTTATGGTAGGATTTTTTTGTAGTCAAATGAGGAACAATTAATATGCTGTAATTAACCAAATTTTTACACATGTTACGAAAACACCAAAAAGGGGTATCCAAAAAGAGAAAGCTAAGACCTCTCTTGTGGAAAGAAAAAGTCTCCAAAAACTTATCCGACTTTTCATAGCTTGATGTGGGTATTAGGACCTACAATCGACGTACGTACAACCCTATACCACAAAATACACATACTTAGCCTTTTGTAGATTTTTTATTTATTTATTATGTATTCGAATTAAGGCTCACAAGAACGAAAGAGAAACTTTCAGGTAGTGTATTGCGTACATTATTGCCAGCCGACGTAATTTATCATGTATCAGACGGCATCAAGGATAAATATCTCGGGACTACTTCTTCTGAAGATCTGTTTGTCCTCTTGACGGCGGTTTGACTTATGCACTGCACCTAGTATTTATATAGTCGTTAATTAGTTGTAGAAGGTAAAGAAAAGTGTGTTATATCTGCAGAGAAACGTCATAGTTGTGATTAAGCCTACTGAAATATAAACTAGGTAACCATCCATTAATGTGGTATGTCCACGCGTCGACTATCTTTCCCTGAACATCAAATTTCTATAAGACTAAAAGCTTGATGGAAAGTATGAGGAGTACTTCAATGTCAGATTGTACAAGTACCATGTTACGTATTCGAGTGTAACTCTCTGAATTTGACATAAAAGGAATGGCAAGACAAAAATTAAGTGTTATTTCAATTAACATTATAATACAAACTATAATAAAGTTTACGACAGTTTTAAGTTGCGCAATCGCCGCCCATTAAGTAAAAAACTTATTAACGCATTTTATAAATATGCGTAAATTGCGTACGTCTCTACCGGGCGGGTATGTAGGGTGGTCACCGTCGGCGGTCCCATATCCGACCCCATCCGGATGTCGGTATGGTTCTTTACCCGATCGGGGTGGAATCGGGGTGGTACTTTTTAACTACAATTTCATTCGTTTTATATCAGGCGATTGGCGGACGCTCATTTACGTGTTCTGGTCGTCAATCATTCTACTAAGTCGTCGGTGAACACGACCTTTATGGCTTCTGATCTTTGCCAAAAACTTTGAAAACGTGCATACTAGGCAGAAGAGTATCTTGTAGAACTATTACAGAAGACCGTTTAGCTTAGTTCTATTGCCGCACCACAACAACGTGCTTCCAGGGCCTCTCTTATGAAAACGACATTCATGAAGAGAAATACTGTGCTATGTGAATTAATACTTTATGTCTGGGGTGCCAAACCTACTACTACACACCCGACAGAACTAGTAAAACTGTGTTCTTTGTTACAATAGGTTATTTGTCGTATGTATGTATGTATGTATGTATGTATGTAGTGTATGACATACGTTTTACCTATATAGGGCGGAAGAAAGTAAATAGAAAGTAGGGTGTTGTTATATGTATTTCGTAGTTATAAACACTGAATCAAACTTACTACTAATTAGACTAATTACGTAAAAAATTCTACACTAATTAGATAATTTTTTACATTAGCAAACTGTCGGGATTATAATAATAGCAAAATAAGTGATCTGGTCCCAAGGTTTGGAAAAAAGGGTTCTGCGGTGGGTTTACTGAAGACAGACCGTCACGCGGGGGTGTGGTGTGTGGGTGTGTGTGTGTGTGTGTGTGTTGTGTGTGTGTTCCTTCCCACCACCGCGTTGTCAAATTTTAGGAGTTTACGATGTTGATTGACAGTGTATTTGACCTACTTACATGTTNAATCAGACTTTAGTTCCACCTGCAGTAAATTCACAAGCTACCCTGCAGTATACAAAGTCATTCAAACCAGCTGCACCTTTACCAGCTTTGAGAACACTTTAATGATCAATCATTATAAAACATATATACTGTATTTACAATTGTTTTTTATTATGGTTTAATTTACTGATTATTTTAGAGACTGTCAGAAAAAAGTCTAAATGGGTCATCATAGTTTCTCAAAGTCTAGGGTGATGCCTTTTTAAATGTATTTTTTTTTTTTTATCCCAACCCTAATTATAATCACGTTATTAAGATATAAAACCGATTAGGAGCAGGAAACTAAATAATATTTCAATGATCAATTATTTTGACAATGAATCCATATTCAAAATAGTTGTCGGTTTTTGTTTTTGAATATTCGCTGCAGCTCCAGTTTGCCATATTCAAACTGTGCTCTTATTACTGACCAGTTGTAGATACTCTGTAGAGAACAATATTAGTTCTAAATTATCTAATCTCTGTCCAGCATGTAAGCAGGGTTTGGAGGGCTACTTTAAAAATGTATTTCGTTACAATTACTAGAGACATGTAAAGAACAAATTAATCAGATGCCTAATGTCAGTATCACAATATAAAGTCATGCAATCTGATTTATTAGTGTTACTTTTTGATTACCTCAATCGGAAATGCAATGCAATCATTAAGAGGTATTTCATTTAAGTGTATTATGTAAGACAACAGAACAATGTCACAATCACAAAAATGTGTTATCTTAGATTGTAGGCACACAGATAAGTATAGTTTACAAATGCTGTTTTAGTTCGAGTTCGATACACAAATCAAAAGCAAATACGTGTGTGTGTGTGTGTGTGTGTGTGAGAGAGAGAGTGTGTGAGAGAATACGTGTGTGTGTGTGTGTGTGTGTGTGTGTGTGTGTGTGTGTGTGTGTGTGTGTGTGTGTGTGTGTGTGTGTGTGTGTGTGTGTGTGTGACCCCCTACCAGCCAAATGTTGTCTAAACACTCTCCCTGCCTCCCAGGATAGACTCCGTGTTTTTGTGTTGATCCGTGTTTAGGCCTTAGCGAGCGTATCAGTGCCATGATAAGGTGTTTAATGTGTCTCTTCCCCCCCGAATCCTCGCCTCAGGCTGCAGGTCGAGTGATGTTGAAGCAAGGATACGGAAAGATTATCAACACAGCCTCCATGGCCAGTCTAATAGGTGAGTGATGAGTCTATTCCCCCCCACCTCCTCTTCTCTGGAGCCCCTCCATGTCTGCTTTTAATCTCTCCATTTGGCGTGGAGAGTTGGGTCGAGAGGAGGAGGAGGGAGGAAGAGTTAAATACAGCTGTGCTGAGCAGCTATCTGTGGGACTACACATCATAGTGTGTATCATTGGAATGAAAGTCAGGACTGACATCAGACCATTTAAACCTGAGAAAAGATATGAATACTTTAAAACAGGAAAAGCCAGCTTTGCTTTTTAACACTGGTAAAATGAGCACATTCAACCAAGTACAGTACTTAAGTGATTATTAAGTGAATTGATTATTGCCATTATGCATTTAACACAAATATTGTACTATTGTCTCTACTGTGACATGTCTCCAGGCTTTAATGTTCAAAAAGCTCTTTATTGTTCTCATACTGCCTGTGCTGCAGCACCTCTTTTCACCCTCTGTCTGAAACCAGAGCCCAGTCTGCTCTGATTGGTTAAGATAAGATAGAACTTTATTGATCCCAATTTGGGACCTTTTGGTTAGCTGGCCGGCTCTGTTGTGATTGGTCAACCGCTTAGATGTCCCGCCCCTTTGCCTATCACGTACAATGTGTTAGCCAATAGAAGTGCGAGTGTGACATAGTGATATCATTTTTTACGGAAGTACACAAAGGAGTCCAATGGAGGCGTTTCAGGCAGTGGGGGGGTGTGAGAGAGAGAGAGAAACTCCCTATGGATGGAACTTTGGGTTTTTAGACTTTGCAGACCATTTACACGCACTTAAACTTAGATGACACACCACAGGGGAGAGAAAACCCCAAAAGCATAATTATATATCAATTATCAACAATTATAATCCAGTGATATAATATTATTCTGAAATAGGTCATTCGGCATAGTGAGTACTTTGCCGAATGGCCTAGTACTTTGAGTATTCAATTATATTTTGAAGCTATTACTTGTGTACTATTAAACACTGTGTTGGTATTTTTTACTTAAAAGTGAAAGTACTTCTTCCACCTCTGCTTTTTACCCCAGTTAAACTGTTGTACAGAGATGCATCCGCCCCTGCATACGGCAGGAAAGTGTTGTGATTGCGTCTCGCCGAGGCGCTTTTGCATCATAATAAACATCCCCTCTCCGCGGAGCCGTGTGGAGGATGTGAAGGCAACCTGAGGTCCAACTTGGGAAGGGAGGGTTCCTGCGCAGCGGCAAAAACCCCAGCCTGTGCCAGCAGCGCTTGTTTGAACAGCGGAAGACACTTTGAGAGTTTTAGTGAGCGCCTAGTTAAAGCCTTGTATTTAATGTTCCTCCTCCAACAGGTTCCTCCAGAGGAGCAGCAACACTTCATCAGCAGTATAGTCGTACAGTCAGTAAAACGCCGTGCCATATGGGCTGCAGGGGCAATCTGTAAAACAGGAGCATGCTGGTAAATAGAGGCCGGCATGAGAAAAAGTGATCAATTACTCACATTACGTACAGTCCTTCAGGAATTTACTTTACTGGTCTGGACATCTGTTATAATATTGTCATAATGTGTAATCAGATGGGACCTGTTCTAGCCAAGTGGAAGCCCGAAAAAACGCCGTAAATGCCCAATTAAAATGCACAATGACAGCTTTTTGTCCATCTGCTGAATAGAATGTGTCCGCTAACACCCTCTCTACACACACACACACACACACACACACACACACACACACACACACACACACACACACACACACACACACACACACACACACACACACACACACACACACCCGACCATCAACCAGCTCTTTTTTCTAAATAATGGCCAGCAGCTCAAAGACACCCAGACAGGAAATATCCAAGTTGATACGATCACACTCCGTTTTTTTTTTGGCTGCGTGATGACCTTACAGAGGGATTTGTGACTCTCACACTCATCCTTGCAGATCTGCGCTGAATAGCAAAGTACATTACAACGCCAGTCTGGGAAAAAAAAAGAGTGCATCATTTGAACTCGGGGAGAATTCTAAATGTAAAAGGCGTGCCTGACAAAGGGCATGTTTTCTCCCACTTGAAATGGGCAATAAGTAGCAGGGTGAATGTTAAAGAGGGCTTTGGAGAATGCTCTCCTTCTACCTCCTTTTCCCTTCTCTGGGGATTACCTCTCTTTAAGACGGCGAAAAACATCAATGCAGGTTTATTTAAAGGATGAAGGCATTTTCTGAATGGTATTTTGGGGCCGTATCATCAGGTCTCGAGCGAGGATTAGTGCTGTTAGGCATTTTGAGCTGTGTTTCCTGTCCTGATAAGTCGGATTTCACCTTCAATCTGCGTGTAAGCCCTGGGCTCTGCTCCTCCTCGCCTGCTCCTCTGAGGTCCTAGCCTCCCCTCATCCAGCCCGGCCCCTCTCTCTCGCCACACTCTCAGCTTCATATTTCCACAGCCAACTTTTACCTGCACCCTGCACATTTTCCTATATATGCGGGATGCTGCTGCCTTTCTCTCCTCCCCAGGACCGGTCCCTGCCTCTCTGCAGCTGGCTGGTATTTATCATCCCGCGGTCTCACACTGAAGCCATTTGGCAGTCAGATCGGCGGGTGACGAGGTTAACTACTAAAGTTGTATGTAACTTGGAGCCTTCCTTGTGATGATTAATCAACCGGCAGAAAATGAGCCCCTGTCTTCTCTCCCATGCAGTGTGCAGCATCTGTGATGGTCAAGGCAAACAAATGGCTCCCTGTCTTTGTTGCTGAGGACAGAGCATAACTGGACATTATAAGCAATTAATTTTACATGGCCTCATCCTCAGGAGTCCGTCGTCCCCCCCCCCCCCCAAGCAGCTAATGGAAGAGCTTTTATTGTAGCATCCACAAGAAACCGCAGCAGCTGCAATATAAAATGTATATGTTGCCAGCTTTTATGAGAAGGCTACTTGGCTCTTTTTGTCTCTGCTAAAGGAATTACTCTTGACAATGAAAGATGTTTTAATGAACAGGTGATGATTGTAAAAATACATACCGTTATTCATGGAGTTTTCTTTTATAAAACGCTGTGTTGTGTCCATTTAGGCTGAATGATAGGATTCTGAAGATATGGATTTATTTCAGCTGGTCAAAAGAATACCTTTTCATTGCAGATTAAATTAACCAAATTTAGCTTTTTTAAAACTGGTTTAGTTTCTTCTAAGCTGAGTTTAGATGATGTAAAAGAAGATGATTACATATAGCCCTAACCACACCTGATATCACAATTGTTAAAATAACACAATCTGACAGTTCTGACGCTTCAAATGTTCATTTATCTTTTCTCCTAAATCTTGTGATTTTTTTCCTGATATGTCAACACCGCCAATCGCCATGTTTAGTGTTCTGCACTCGGATCACGTCTCGATGGTAACCCCCCTGATTTGCCAAACTTAACCTTAACCGTACAATATTAAAGAGGCCCTATTATGTTTTGGGTTTTTTTCCCTTTCCAGAGAGTTTCTCTCCCACACACTCCCCCCTCTGCTTTAAAAACACCTCCATTGGACACCTTTGTTTACTTCTGTATCATAGTGACATCACTACGTAACACTCGCACTTCTATTGGCTAGCGCTCCAACACATTGTAAGTGATAGGTCGCCATTGTCAGTATGTGCGTCTGTGTATTGTGTTTGTTCAAACGGTGTATGACTGATGATATGTGTATGTCTCTTAATGTCTACTATGTTTGTACATGTACATGTATCCAGAACAAACGGGGACAATAAAGTATATCGTATTGTATCGATATGTTAAGGGGCGGGACATCTCTAAGTGGTTGACCAATCACAACAGAGCCGTCCAGCTAACCAATCAGAGCAGACTGGGCTCTGGTTTCAGACAGAGGGTGAAAAGAGGTGCTGTGTCCATGTCACAGTAGAGGCACACAATACAACTATGAAACCTGAAAATGTGCTTTTTTAATCTTTCTTAACGATGTATCGGTTCAAATATATGTACTACCCACTAACTTATTTTGTTTCATCCCCTCCCTGCAGTCCCCCACCCCCAGAAGCAGCTCTCCTACAACACATCGAAGGCTGGAGTGGTCAAACTGACTCAGACTCTGGGCACTGAATGGATCGACAGAGGAGTGCGTGTCAACTGCATCTCACCGTAAGTGCCGTCTATTCTCAGCACTTTTGTCTTTTTCCGTGCCAAATCATAGTGGTCCACCTTTCGAGTGTTGCGAGGGATTGAGCTGCACGAGGAAGTGGTGATTAGTGTGTTTGCTTTCATATGAAGAGCCCCATCTGAGAATGATGCGCTAATTTAAGTCCTCAAACAATGCATCAGCGCTTAATTAGATGACGTCTTGAGGGATGAATGAACCAAACACTTGCTCTAATTGTTCTATTCAATTAGGGAATCAAATGTGCAACCTCACTCCGAGTGTGGGCGCAACAATGGTGCCTTGTTTGTATCTATTTGTCTGTGAAGCTGAGTAGGGGGGAAGAAAAGTGTGTGTGTGTGTGTGTGTGTGTGTGTGTGTTGTGTGTGTGTGTGTGTGTGTGTGTGTGTGTGTGTGTGTGTGTGTGTGTGTGTGTGTGTGTGTGTGTGTGTGTGTGTGTGTGTGTGTGTGTGTGTGTGTGTGTGTGTGTGTGTGTGTGTGTGTGTGTGTGTGTGTGTGTGTGTGTGTGTGTGTGTGTGTGTGTGTGTGTGTGTGTGTGGTGGAGCATCCCATAGCCCCAGCCATCCCTGAGCAAATCCATCCGGTGGCATTGGGCGAGCCAGGCCCAGTCACTACCCCAGAACAAAGCCCTCACACACGCTCAGCTTTATTTATCGGCTGCTTGTTTGCTAATTTTAATTTGCAAAGAAGCAATTCTCTTTCTCTCTCTAGCTCCCCTCGCTTACCGGGTGTCTCAATGGGCTGCTGGTTTCTTTGAAGTGACAGTCGGTAAATATGCATAAAAAAAGGGACACAATTAGCGCTCACAAGGTTGACTGGAGCCTGATTCCATTGGCAACTTTAGCCGCAGCGGTGATAAGCTGCATTATCTAGAAAATTGGCTGAGGGAAAACAGAACCTCTGATTGCCAGCAAAAGGTTCCAGATAACAGGGGCGGCTGAAGAGAAATATAATTGAGGTGGAATATGTTAACCAAGGTGTCACACGCTCCTTGGAAGCGCTAATTTAGCCAAATGTTGGAATTTCATATCAAGGAACCAGGATACATCGAACAATGAGTCGGGCCTCGCCGCTTTTAGTCACTGTCACCACAATTGTGCGGAAAGTCAGAAGTCGTCTCATATTAGGCATGGGCGACGTGTTGACTTATTTATACAAATGTTAGCTCCTTGATACTTGTACTGTAGAATCGAGACAACTGCATTAGTTGTGGGTAATGATGCCACATCGACACCAGTGCAATCACAAAATGAAAAGCAGCAAACCTTTGAGACTACAGGTGAATAGGGTTTAAATGTAACGAATAGATACCGCCATGAAACGTCCTCCTTTTTGGTTACGTACGTTTAAAGCTATCAGTTTTGTATTATAGATTTGTTTAACTGTTATATTTATATACGCAACATCTTATTAAATATGTGCTATGTGCTAGTTTGCATACATTTCAAAATGTAACCAAACTAGATCATATTGGATGAAGCCAGTTTTTATTTTGTTGACACATTAGGTTCAAAGGTTTGTTTAACCAAAGGCACATTTGAAACTGTATCTCAAAGCAGAAATCCAGAAATCCAGCCATAAAAAAAATTATATTCTGCTATGTTTTGGGGAATAATGCGATTATAAATCAGGGTTCGATCCTGTGATCAAAAAACTAATTTAGAAATCTGCCTTTAAAGATACGTTTGTTGGAATTCGATTTATTTTGCAAGGCACTTCCAGGAAATAGAGTAAACTATTTTAACTAAGAAGTCTACATACAAGTTCTGTTAAATGTTGTGAATAAATGTGCAAATTAGCTGTTATTTAATGCTAAGTTTAGATGCAATCTACAGTCCCATATAAACAAAGTTAGTGAAATAAACACCTTAATGTGCACTCTTGACAATTCCCTTCCTCCAGTGTGAAATAAGACATGGTGGATGCAAAGGAGAGCTTAAAATAATGTAAAAATGTACAGGTGCATTTAAGGATAGGGTGCAAACATTTCAGAACACCAATCTGAACATTATAGCCAGGTAAAACATGTCGTTTCCTTTCTTTGCCACATTAGAGTCAAATATCTTTTCGGATAGATTTTTGGCGATCTGTTTTTATCACTGTTATGTTTTTGCCTGTAGTGTCTCACATTTCCATCAGAAATCAGAGCAGGAATATGAAATAGTCGCAGCGTTATAAGTACTAACCAAAAGGCTTTGAGCAAATGATGCGATTCCCCCCTCACCCGGGGGCTCTTCCTGAGACGTGCCGGCGCCCCCTCTGTAAACACCAGCAGAGATGCCACGCCGTGCCCTTTCTTCAAAGGATAATTGGGTTTATTTTTGTCACCAAAGTGGTGGCTCTGAAACAACACTGTCACTCCTGACTCTGAGCAGTGATGCCCTCTGATTTCATTGTGTTTTTTATTTTTTTGTATTCCCTCCCCCCCCCCTTCTTTCTCTGTCTCTGTTTTTCAGGGGGATTGTTGACACCCCTCTCATCCACTCGGAGAGTCTGAGGCCTCTGGTGCAGCGCTGGCTGTCAGACATCCCTGCTGGTAGACTGGCTCTAGTGACAGACCTGCAAGCTGCAGTGGTCTACTTGGCATGTGACGCCTCCGACTACATGACAGGGCATAACTTAGTCATAGAGGGTGGGCAAAGTCTGTGGTAGATGAAGAGATGAAACTTTCCTCTTCACTCTCCTGGGATGAGTCTCTAAAAAAAGGTGTCATTCGCACTCCTTATGATCTCCTTATGACTCCCATCAGAATGAGTTGAAGTCTTACTTGATTACTGGTTTATTGTGTGATGAGATAACTAGTAGCTTGTTGTCCTCTTTGAGCCCCCTGTTTGGGATCAGTGTGCTGTCACGTGGGTTATGACACCCTTAACTTTCTTTAGAGTATGAAAAACACTGCATCATGTTAAATTCTAAAAAGAGGTATAGCAGCTGCCGGTTATCTTGACACACAATGACAATGTGAAGACAGAACATCTTTTCGAAGTGCTAGAAAGAAAAAATTGAAACTGTGAATGTGCCTTCATACTCCTTCTTTACATTATGTTATACATCAAATGCAGTTTAAACACACACATAAAAGTCAATGGCTCTAAATGGTGTCATAAATAATACACTAAAAGAAGGTTTAAAATGTATTTTTGGAGTTTTTGAATACCTAAATAAACGTGCCTGTGCTCCCTACTAGGAGTGTGAATACTTTGGTAAGTCACCATCACAATATGATTTTGTTGCCTTTAGACTCAAAACCGTTCGACATCTTAAAACTGCTTGATTCAAAAAGGGATTTTCAATTTGAGTACATAAGGGGGAACATTAAAGAGACTACTGCAGGTCGCTGTGTGTTAAAATAGGCAATGCAGCAAATCGTGACACGGAAATGCAAGTAAAGTGTGTATAACATAGTTAAGAGTCAACTAATTGTAACAATGTACACACATGGAGGCAAACCTGAGACAAAAGGTCACATTTCTTATTAGAAAACATTTTCCATAAAAAAAGCAACACGGTTTTGGTATTTCTCAACTCTCAGTGACTTTAAGATGAACAAGTTCAAGTAAATGATCAAAATAAAAATGCTTCCTGTTAGAAAAAATCCAACATGAAGGCTAGCTTTGTTTTTATTTCTCAGAGACTTGCACATTTAAAAAGATAAATGGTTAAATAATACACGGTCAAATCTGGTATTTGGGTGACGGTCACACAATACATTTAGAAAAATTGATTAATAGAAGTTGTGATTCAATTCAGAAGCTGAATTACAATCAACCTCTAGGCAGCGTTTGCTGCTTGGTATACAGTTCATGGTTGTTTACCAGGTGTAAAAAACCCAGGAAGTACCAGAATGTGTTTACAGATCACATTCCCAGCAGTGTATTCAGTGAGTTGCATTTTGCACCTTGACTCTGGACTCCCTCTGGTCCCAGACTCTTGTGAACCACATGCAGGATTACAGCATCCCAGTCGTCCTCTCTGCAGCTCTTTCTTGCCAAATGGTCCTCACGAGTGGTGCTTGTGAGCGCCATCTTAATTGCTCCATTAACTGTTTGTGCGCTGGAAAACAATACTTAAAAGGAGAGGTCGGCCGAGGACGTGACCCCCAGTCGCTGCAATTATACCAAAAGTAGTGCCCAATTAGCGCCCTTTGCAATGTGACACTGTTGCTGTTTATGTGAGCAACTTCAACTTCTCACTGTTAGTGACCGTTTCTCTCTGATTTACATAATTGAGGGATTGGTCATTAATGGGAATGGCGTGTGAGAGGATCCCATTAAGATATGGAGTGAGATCTGATCATCTCCTCTGCACTGTGCTATTTATCTCCGGCTGCATTGGCACATTAGAAATTATTGGGATTCTTATCCTCGTACTTAATGGTGAAATATCGAAGTCCGCCACAGTGTGTGCATGCAGGGTCTTGCAGAATGTGTTCACACAGAAGGCACATTGTGTTTTTGAGGCTGTTTCCCTGTCCTGCCACTGAGGGGCAGTACGGAGACAGGCAGCTGCAGCACTGACATTATGTTACAGCAAGGGGTTATCACATTATTTGCTATCATCTAAAGGTAATAACAGTGAATTAAAGATAACATAAGGACACCTCTCCAATTTTAGTAAGCAAACAGCTCGGTATTATGGACAATCAAAGACAATGCTGAATAAATACTCATATTTTTTCAATTAAATGAGGTTAGATAGTGGACAGTTACATTTAAAATGCATTCAAAATGTAATTCTAATCGTTTTTCAGGAGGAGATTAGAGCAGCATTTAAAGTCCAGAGACAATGAAGTGCAAATATGACTCGAGGTGATAAATTACAAAATCCATTTGCATCTATCTTTACCTAAGATAAATAGGATTCCAGTTAACAACTTTAGTGTTTTTCAATTATTTTTGTATATCCAAGTTGAGGTTGTGATTAGTTTTGAAAGTGAAAAGTCTCGCATAAGGAATGCAAAAAAGTTGTTGAAACCAAAAGCTACTTTCCCTTTAAGTCCTTCTGTTTCCAGCTATTCACCGTCACCATTCGGTGTCCAAACTGTTGCTTTGCCGTCATGTTTTGCACCATATTAAACTCTTTCAGAGCCCACTTGGAGGTCTTGTTTTCCTTTCCAATTGCAGCTAAAAGAACCCAATCTATAATTCGAGCAGCAAAATGTGATATCCCCTCGAAACGCCATACAGCGGCCTGCTTCATGAAGTGTAAGTGATCTTGAATCCATTATTTATGACCTCCTTTTGCTACCATTACACTGAAGAGCGAGGACCCTGTTGTACACGGCGCTGTTGTGCTAAACAGTTCTCCAGGCAGAAGGAGGCCCTCGCGCCCTCACACTTGAAATCAACTTTGATTAATGCTCGGCTCTGTCACGGCATGCAACATTTTACAGCGTCCGGCGCTCACAGGGAGACCCGGGTCGATGGCCGACAACACGATGAGGCAATATGTGTCGCTGAGCTGTGTCCCGGTGACAAGAGGACCCAAGGGTTTATGGATGACATATTAACATTTGACAATATCAATACACTTTTATTGATGGATTATGGCGTCCTGTTACATAGCCACTCAGCGAGGTGTTTGAAGATTAAATGTTACCCCCTTATAAATTGAGTTGAGCCCCCTGATGCTATCATCTGACGTAGGGCTGTGCTACAGCAAAAGGGAAATGTCAAAATGTATCTTCTAATAAGGGCTGGTGGTGCTGTGTGAACTTCTAACTTAATAACCCAGGACCATTTCATTCGTCTAATACCTTGATGGAGAATCTGATCCTCATGTTCAAAACAAAGCTGTAACACTTTGACTTCGCTGTGTAATGCATAACTTTGAAAGCTTATTCATTTTAAGAAAATGTCTTCACTCCATTGAAATGAACAAGAACTGTGTAGCTGAAAAATATAAATGCAGTAGTTCTGTGTAAAAATGTATATCACTGATCATGTATGATGTGTTGCTTTAAAAAGTAAAGCTTTGCATTTTGGGAATCATGCTCATTCAGCCTAGATTTAGATTCAAATATTGATATGAACTCATACAAACTCAGGTTTGTACTGTGAATATTAAGCTAGCCGCCCTTTGGCTTAGCTTACTTTAGCCTAAAACCATAACTTTTCATTCCCACTTTCTTTCTTTATTTATTCTATGGATTAAACAAGATACAACTTGAAAAAAGAGTGCTGCAGGTATAACACATTTTTGTAAACAAACCCGAAATGCATCGTGTTAGTTCCAGACACAACACTTAAAGGGCCCATGTCATGCTTTTCTGGTTATTACCCGTCCCCTTGTGTGTTATGTAGCTTTGTATGCATGTTAACGGTCTGCAGAGTCACAAACCCTCAAAGTACACCCTGTAGGGAGTAAAACTCTAACACAGAGAAGACCTGTCTGTGCTGCTCCAGAACGCCTCGTTGGAGATTTCTCTTTTTGAATTGTTTACTTCCTGGGTATAGTGACGTATTTCGGGTATAGTGACGTAACGTAACATAGCGGAGCCGTTACGTTTGGACCAATCCGCGGACTTCCTCACACACACACACTCGGCGGGACGTTGCGAGGCTCGCTGCTGCGAGGAGCGGGACTCTGTGAGCCGGCTCACTGGTGTGGGGACAGCGAGACACCGCGGAACTCAGCCTGAGCACACACGCAAACTCCCAGCCAGGCTGCGGGTGTGTGTGTTTGGGGCTGGGTTTCGCTGTGTCTTGCTGTCTCGCAGACGGCCACTGGGCTCGCAGGGAGGGAGGGAGGAGGGGGGGCAGGAGCTCCAACAAGCCGTTTAGGACAGAGAGTGAACACACATACTTTACAGAGATGCTGTATGAGAAACCAATGTGAGTTTGGAAAATTGCACAATATACATTTATTTTGGTAGACCTGAACAATGGAATTATGATCATTAGAAATGGCCATGACATGGGACCTTTAAATATAAATTTATTTTTATTGCAGGATATAAGCCTTTTGCAAATGAAGCGTTTATGATGCATACTGTACATCTTTTGTTTAGCTAGCAAGATGAGATGAAGCTGAAGATACATTCTCATGACTTAACATCACTACCCGCAAAGCTAAGTGTTGGGCATGATGAGGTTTTAGTATTATGTAGCCTCTTGTTAGCACATGCCTTTTTTAAGATATGAAAACATTGAAGAAAATTCACCAGTGTGGTAAAGCTGACCTGTCATATTGCGTAAAACAAAACCGACCACAGATCGTATTTCAAAATGACCTTCAAAACGTTGGAAATGAAAGTCCAAATGCTAACTTCTTATGTTATCTTTGACAAGAAAGCGTATTTTGCTAAATGTATACCTACTCTGACTGTTCCTTTTAGAAATCAGTGAATGTATCATTTATGTTATATGACTTTAGGTAAACAATCCTGAAACAGGGTGACACAATATGTGCTGTCAGAATGGAGACTTGACTTCGGCTTCTTGAAACAGTTAATGTCTGCATTTTCAAATACTGACTTCAGAGATAATAAATTTACATAGATTTGAATCAAAATTAATTAATATATATTTAAGTTTATTGTCTTTTACAAAAGCATCGCCACCAACTCCGGTTTCATTTTGATATCTTTTGAGTAGCCCTTTCTTGAGATTCTGCCTGTGTTTGTGTGCGTGTTTGTTGCACTTGACTCGCTGATGGCACTGGATCATTGTCTCCCCATGTTTGTTATCTCATGTGTTATTCATTGAAAGAGCTGTTTTGCTGTTTGCTCTCATCATGCTACCTGCTGACTTCACATGGGGTCACTTTAACTGGCTGCTGTGTGTACTCAGATGGATTGGCAATAAATAATAAGTGTGAGGACTTGTGTCAAGCTGCGTTATTATATCGTATTCCCTTTGAATGCTTTCGAAGTGACTCGCACAATCAGGCTTTATCAAGACATTTTTACCAAACATACTTGTGGTCGTTGTTTTGGTTTCTTTGCTTCAAAACACTGGATTTTTCATAATGAAATCGAAACATACCTGAAGTTTTCTTTCATTTCTTGCCATGGCTGCAGTAACACATTATGTTGCATTATTTCACGTCTGTGTACATTTGATACCAGTGCATTTACCAAACACTATAATTGCACCTCTTGAGATGTCATATGAGGTGTCGAGAAAAACATCGTCCGCATCCTGTATCCACATCGTAAATGTATCTGGCTTTTATTCAACGTTAATTTTGAACCCGGGAAACATTGCACTCCGAGATCTCTAATTACAATGCAGCTAATGTGTTATTTCCTCCCCATGTGGGATTACTTTCATCTTTCCCATTAAGATGCACATTTTGTTTGGATACTCAAATTACAAACCCCATATTAAATCTGACTCTGCAAAAGGCATTGATCATAGCTCCCGATAGCTGCACTCCAACTTTGATTTAATTTGCACTTCCATTAATATCTATGAGACGTCCGATTGTCGTCTTGGGCATATTGATGGTATTGTAAGCCCTGCCTTCATATAATGTTCCCCAGCGGCAATGAGGAAATGTTACAGAGAATTAGGCCGAGAAGCAGGCTCAGTGGAACTGGCACTGCAGTCGGAAATTCATTACCCTAATAAATAGAGGAGGGGGGAGTGAGAATCTTAAGAGAAATGTCTCCTTCTTAACACAAAAACACAAAAAGCCCTCACTTTGGCCTGAGAGTGAATGACTGTAACTCAGGTGCTACTTAGTATGTCTGCTCGTGCACCTAAAGGTCTTCTTGGGACTTTAAAGGAGTCTTGAAATGTGCCTGATGATTCAATAGAAAAGCAGTCTCTTGCTGCCTGTCCATCCAAGGCCGGATTAACCATATGGGCAACCTGGGCAAGTGCCCAGGGGCCCTTGAGCAAAGAGGGCCCTCAGTGACAAGATAAAAAAAAAAAAAAATCTTTGAATTTTTTTTCTTTTTCGGGCACAACCTCACTCATCATACATTGTTTTAAATGACACTCACTCTTCGCCATAAATAACACAGCTTTTCCATAGGGTCAAATTACTGTAGGTCTCTGTACTGTAGGTCTCACTATGTATGCACTCAACTTTATTACTACGCGGCGGAGGTGTATAGCCGAATCACAGCCCCACCCTTGAGCAACCACACAATTTCACTACATATTTTACTTTTGTAACTCTTGGTGTTTGTGACAAATAGAACTCCTCGTGTACATGTACAGCCAGCCAGTCATATTTTGGCATTAAGTGGGGTGCTGTTCTGAGGTTTTGATTGATATTACCTAGGTCTTCTTGAGTATCTTTGTCTTGTGATTTTTGACTGAAAGGGCAAAAGGCTAGACCTACTTTGGTTGAACTATGTGGCTGCGTCCCTGCTTTTGACAAATAGGTGTGCGATTTGACATGCCAGATTGACTGAAAATTCTAAATATTGGTCATGTTGGTAGGATTGGGTAGGCGTGGTGTTACTTGTTGGTACGTGGGTTGGGGGGGGGCCCATGAGTGCTCAGTGCCCGGGGGCCCCTGGAGGTACTAATCCGGCCTTGTGTCCATCAGGACGCTTTATGTCTATTTAGATATATGTGGCTGCATCTCTTTGATCATTACAACAATGAGAATGCAGCCGAAATCTCATTAAAACCCTCCGGATACAACGAAATGAACATCATTTAAAGAAACTACAATACAGTCGTAGATTCATTGTGAGCTAGATAAGTGTCAAGCCATGCTGATTCCTTATGTTGATTAATGAAGTGCCAACTGAGTATATGTACTGTTCCCGTCCTTTGTTGAAGCCCTGACACGCTGTTTTCTATGGGGAAAACACTGGTGGAGCCAAGAGACGTGAGTTATGCAGTAATTAATGCAATCATGAAGATGAAAATAGCTGTTGTTGCGACTAGCGAACGCCAATGAAGAGCGTGTGAAACGAGGAGGAGGAAGATTCATTGTTAGGTGACTGCGATCAGAGACTCTGCTGTCCTCCGAGGCCCTTCGCTGAGTCTCGACAGTGTGTCTTTCAGTAAGCAGCATCTGTGAAACAAATATGTTTTACGGCATCCCTCACTTCCTGTACAGCACCGCTTTTATTCCTAGCATCTGCACGCTTGTTTCGGTGGATGGCACAATTTCCCTTTTTTGTT